CTTTGTGTGGATGTAGGTCGATTGACCGAATAACGTTAAATCTGTCACTTTGGTATATTTTTTGGTTGTTTCTTACAAGAAAGAGGTTTGTTGAGCTAGTTTTCGCATTACACCTCAATTAAAAGTTCTATAGATAATTGCAACGACTCCAGAGTGAAGTAAAATAAAAAGAGTAAAGGGAGAGTCACGAATCTCGTGTGATAAGATATTTGGTATACGACAATAACATAGTGAGAATGATGTAATCGGACAATTAAAAATTCTATAGATAATTATAACGATTCAAGAGCGAAGTTAAAAAAAAAAAGACTAAAGGGAGAGTCAGAAATCTCGTGTGGTAAGTGCCGCTCACTGCATCTAGAGGATGCTACGTTTGCACATTGCAAAAAATCTCATCATTCTTTCCCCCAAAAAATCAAAAAAATAAAAATCATAAACACAAAATTAAAATATATTTCTTCCCAAAAAATAATAATATAAGAAGATATAAAAAGAATTTTTGAAGAACAAGTATAGCCAAATTATTTGACAGCGATTGCTAATACTTAGCTAGCGATTGCTAATACTTAGCTAGCGTTTGGCTATAAATTTTCAAATATTCTTGGTAAATATTATTTGAATGAAAATTTGGGTGAAATTTTACCATGTGTTTGGCCATAGGATTTGAGAAATATATTTCACCTTTTTAGAAAAATATGATTTATACCCATAAGTTTTAAAAACTATTAAAACTAACTATAAGTTTGTATTACCAGTCAATTGGATGTTCGTTACAACAATAACAAATAGTTTTCATCACACTAGAGCAATGTGGTAATTTGGACCGAGTGCAACAAGTATCATTCCATACATCGTGAAGTAGATGAAACACATGATTTTATTACCTTGAGTTAATTTTTCATCATTTTCATCAACAATCATATCATTATTTAATATTCACTAAATATTTCATCACCATTTTGGTGTTCACGTAAAAAAATTTATGTAATACAACACAAACAACTACTATAGAGGGTATTTTTGTAAAAGATAAAAGTTTGGGGTAAAGTTTTAATTTTCAGAAGATCCCAAATAATGAGATTTGACCCAAATACTAGAAAAAACTAGTTGGGAATTTGGGATATTTGCTAAATAATGAAAAATTGTATGGACAAACATTATTTGCTAAGTTTTTCCCCAAATATTATTTGGGAAATCTATGGCCAAACGGGTCCTTAGTGTGGAAGTCCCTTTTTATAATTTTACTTTGTGTTTGCCCTAAAACCCTTATTTATAGGGCAACTTTCACATATAGCAAACAAAAAATTGATATTTGTATGCTATACAAAGTTTTGCATAATTGCGCTCCATAGCAAACTGTAACGACCTGTTAGTCGTTTTGAGCAGTAGAGTTTATTTCTGGTAATAACTGTCTGGGTCGACGGATCCCACGACGGACCGTCATGGGCACGACGGACCGTCGAGGGTGTCTCGTTCCAAAACACTTAGAATTCTGAAAAATTAAGTACTGAGAAAAACTCTCTGAACTTCGCGACGGAAGAGCAGGACGGACCGTCGTAGGCACGACGGACCGTCACAGGGTCTTAAATAAAAATTAAGTCTCTGAACTCTGTGACGACTCAGCAGGACCGACCGTCGCAGGCACGACGGTCCGTCACAGACTGCGTAACCCTGACCGGGTCGGATTTCTGTTAAAAGTTTTAAGAGGCGTTTTGGACTATTCCTGCTTATAAGTATAAAGTTAGGGGTTTAATGTTAATAATTCAATTACTTGGGGGTTAAAGGAGATAACCTTGATTTAATTAGTGGGTTACTTTTACCATCTTTTATACTTAATTATATGGTAATTAGGGTAAAAGAAAAAGAGTTTGGATAAGGAAAAAGAAGGAAAGAGACAGAAAGAGAGGGAGGACGATCGAGAGAAGAGAGAAACGAAGAGGAAAGCAAAGGTTTTGGGGGATAGCTTGCTTGATCGCGAATTCTTCGGTGGAGGTAGGTTATGCTGTTATGCTATTTCATAGTAAACTCTTAATAGCGAATGATATGTATTGGGTAGTATTGTAAACCCTTCTATATGCTTAATTGTGTGCTTGCATGATGTGATTATATAATTGTGATAAAATAAGCATGATGAGGCTGTTGAATCTTAAACCTTTAAAAACCTCTTTGTTAATGATGATGCTTTGATATAAAAGAAGGCTTGATGAACTAAAAGAATGAGGTTAGAGGATCGGGTGTCACGTTCCGGCACCAGGATAGTATTAATGTATCGGGTGTCATGTTCCGGCACCAGGATAGTATTAATGGATCGGGTGTCACGTTCCGACACCAGGATAGTATAAATGGATCGGGTGTCACGTTCCGGCACCAGGATAGTATTAATGGAATCGGGTGTCACGTTCCGACACCAAGATAGTAAAGAGAATGAATCTTGAATTATGTTAATATACTCAAATTAATGAATCTATTTCCCAAATGAGTATGGTATGGAGGCTTGAGTCCTCATGGGTGTACTTGGCGTTATTATCAATGATTTTTGTACTGTTTGCTGCTACCTGTTGAGTATGTAGTTGATTTTATGATATTATCTGATATATATTGCTTTCTATTTTGAGTTGGCCGATGATAACTGTTTGCTGCTACCTGTTGAGTATGTAGTTGATTTTATGATATTATCCTGATATATATTGCTTTCTATTTTGAGTTGGCCGATGATATCTACTCAGTACTCGTGTTTTGTACTGACCCCTACTTGTATGTTTTCTCTTTGTTATTTGTGGAGTGCAGCAAACGTACCGTCGTCTTCAACTCAACCGCAACTCTAGCCACTCTTCATCACGTCAGATTTCAGGGTTAGCTAATGTTTCTAGCTTGGACTGGATCTTCTTCTTCACGCCTTGATGCCTTGAAGTTCTGGCATGGACTAGCTGTTTAGTTATTTTAGCTTCTTAGATACTCTTAGATTTAATAACTTGAGGATAGAATGTTCTTGTGATGATGACTTCCAGATTTTGGGGATAATGATAAGTTTTGAGTTTAAAAAGTTATTTATTGGTTATATTATTGAGTTTTAAGTCTTCCGCATTTTATTCTGTTTATTATGGTTGAAATGTTGGGGTTTAGATTGGTTGGTTCGCTCACATAGGAGGGTAAGTGTGGGTGCCACTCGCGGCTCGTTTTGGGTCGTGACACAGACATAAAACTGTATAATTCGCTATACATATACAATTGTATAATTCGCTGGGCTAAGTTGTATAATTCGCTGGCCTATTTCGCTACAATTGTATAATTCGCTATCCTATTTCACTGCGGTTGTATAATTTACAATTGTATAATTCGCTGCCTATTTCGATGCAATATTTTTATAAAATTTGCATACAGTTGAATCGAATTAAAATATATGTATATTGCATAATTATAAGTGTATAGCAAGAAGATATATATTTTTCTCTCGCTCTATACAAAAACAGAAACACAATATATACACTTGTGTTGTATAAAGCTAGAGAAAATTGTATTTCACTGCAATTGTATAATTAATTGGCCTTTTTCTCTGCAATATTTGAAGTAAAATGTTTGTAAATTGTATAATTAAGTGTATAACACGAAGATATATATTTTTGCATGTGTATATACAATTTTCTCTCGTTTTATACAAAACAAAAAATAAAATTTATACACTTCTGTGTATAAAGTGAGAGAGGCAAACGAGAATGGAGAGCGGCGAGCGAGATTTTTAGGAGACATATATTTGGCAAACTTTAGCTAACGTTTGCTATGGAACACAATTAAATCAAACCCTAGCTACTCCATTTATTTTAGGTTATTAGTTTGCTATTATATACAATTTTTCCTTTATTTATATTCATGAAAATTATTATAAAAGCCACTCTAAATTTTGTTTAAGAAAAAAAAATCAAGTTCCCCCCCTTAATTTTAAACAATAGCCTTTTTCTCTCCATTATTATATGTGGTATTAATTTTCGTCAATATTTTCAATCCTCCATTTATGTAATAAAATTAGCCCAAAATGTATAACATAAACATGATATATGTAATATTATGTATATATCTTAACGTGTGACTCAGTGTAAAGTATTTTAGTTGAGCAGTTAAATGTGCAACTTCTATTTAAAAAATTAGTATATACACAAAAATATCAAATATACCCCTCTACTTCATTTTGTTGAGCCTTATTATTTAGTCGGCGTGACACACCTAAATTTCCTATAATCAATGCACAAGGCTTCATGCGACTGGAGCAACCTTTGTTGGTGTTCGACTTTGTTCACCCTTTCAGTTAAATATCTCGCTTTTTTCTCGAGGAGAGTCGAGATTCAAAATATATGTGGGCTTTCATCGCCTAAAGAAGATCTATCCAAAAACCGTTAATTATACAATTCGTCTATTTTTACCCTCTCAGACTTAGCATATATACATTCTTCCATCAATAGTGGCGGATTCAGGATTTAAAGGTTGTGGATGCTCACTTCCTTTAACATAAACTTGTTAGCAATCACAAACGGTAAATGTATACAAACGGTAAATGCCTTTGTTCTATGGGTGCTCATTTAAGTTATAATAACATATATATCATATTTTCTATATATCTATACAAAAAATTTCGGAAATCAACGAGTGCTCGAGCACCCGCGTTTGGTTTACTGGGTCCGCCTCTGCCATCAATGATATTGCCAAGATGAGCTAAAGTAAATTTACTCATAAAAATTGCACAGTATAAAATACTAGAGACTAATAGACATTTTTTTTTAAAAAAAAAAAACTAATAGCTAGACATTTGTTCATCAATTAAAACACATAAAATGGGGGGAAAAAGATTAACAAATTTAAAGAGTTGGCAACTAAGTTATGGGGCAATTTATCATGTGGAGTTTCACTACTTTAATAAAAATAGTTTGGTAAGCCAATTCTTTTTAAAAGTATTATTTCACTATAAATAGAAGAGAAATGCATATTTATTTGATCATCCACAAATTAAATATCAACAAAATCTTACAAAATGGCATTCAAGGCAAATATTTTGCTTATATTTTCTTTGGTTCTTATGATTATATCATCAGAGGTTATTGCAAGGGAAATGGTTGAGGGTAAGTTGTTCTAATTGTAGTTTTAAGTACTAATTACAAATTTCATATGACAAATTAAATTAAGTGCATAATGGGGTATGGTCAAAAAGAAAACTTTTACTTCATGAAATATCTTAGTTTTACCCTTTGTTTTATAGCTTTGTTATTAGCAAATCGTCTCATATTATCTTTAATCTTATAAGTAAATTAAAAGTCAATGAGTAATTTTGAACTTTTCTTTTACGAAGTATTGTAATATGTAAAACTCAACGTCTATATTGAAGCTCATTTAAATTTTAAAATTAAGAGCAAATATAAGAGAATTTACTAGTGTAAAACTATATAAAATAGACCCAAAATATAATTAAGGGTAAAATTAAGAAATCTTATATAGTAGCATTAGTTGACTTGTCTAAGCAACCATTGATCCGACATGAAAAAGGTGGTATATTTTTTGACTATATAGAGAAAAAAAGAAAATTATAATAATTACTATTAAAATTAACATGGAAGAATTAAGAAAATGTTATGAACTTAATTATTATATTTTGATTTTTGAATATATTTTATTTTTTCTGTTCTCTCACAAAATTGTTTATACACATGAATTTTGATGCAGCAAATCAAGTTCAAAATACATTTGAATTGGACAATCCGACGCTCCAGAAAAAAGGTGGTGATGGAAAAGGCGGGGATCATTATTTCCTAATATAGCGCGTTTGGGTTGCAGTTGCCCAAAAAAAGATAATAATAATAACAATAATAATAATAATAATAATAACAATAACGATGACGATGATGACAATGACAGTTTCATTGGTAATGTTTGTAAAGCCATGTGTTGTTAGAGAAACAAAAGATATATCATTTTCTTCCCATCCGCTACTCAATATTATATGGTTATGTAATAATAATAATAATAATAATATGAGATTGGTTGAATAAAGGAAAAGTTTGTATTATATATCGTTATGTTAATTTCACTTTTGTAATAATAATATGAGTGATCTGAGTCAAATTCAAGCTTTAAAATTTATAATTAAACAAAATATTGAAATACAGTTTTTATTATTATAGTTTTCTTCCTTTCAAATCTTTCTTGTGAAAATTATATAGCTATCCTAATTGATGAAATGCTCGAGCAAATCAATTTTTGTTTCACTAATTTTTTTTAATTATGTCGATTCAACCGTTAATGTTTAAACCTTATTCATTTAACATTTAACACAAATTGATCCATGAAATATCATGTGATTTTTTTTCTTCAAAAAGTCATTTTAAAAATTTAATATGTTATAGATTCTGATAATAAAGAATAATAATAATTCTTTTAAGTAATAAAAGATTATAAAAAAAAAGCAATTAAAAATTAATAAGAATTAAACGCGTTTGTTTTGATCCACTTTTTAGCTCAAGAAATTTTTCGGTAAATTATTAACCCACTTATTTATTAACTCAACGAATTTTGATCGGCTCACAGTCCTATCCAACCCGCTAATTTGTCATCCGTACGTAAAACTAATAGGGAAAACATACTGAATAAAATGCTAATTTGAAAGACTGAAGTGAAATTTTGTAATTAGTTTGTTAATTAAATAGGTTTAAGTGTATACATTAATGACGTAAAAGTGTCTTTTATAAAACTGACTCATTTAAAAGATGAGTAATTATAATTTCAAAGAAGCGCAAATAAAATAAAATATACTTGTACAATCAATCACTTATTATATAATGACATATAATTTGTTAATAAAATATAATTTGTTTAAGTAAATATATATACACACACAAGAGTTAAAAATTCTAATAATTGATTTAATATTAAATTTAATTAATCAAATTCTTAATACAAATACTAAGCAAAAGTTAATTAAAAAATGAATTAAGAGTTGGCGTGAAAAGAAAAATAATGAGCTTAAAATGTCATTTATAAAATTTAACTATTATACTTGCAATAGAAAAGTAATCATTAATCTGATTTTTGAAAAAAAGAAAAAGATAATTTGATCAATCAAAACATATAAGAAAATTATACAAAAATTTTCCTCGATACCATGAATAATACTAATAATAATATTCTTAATTGATTTTATATTGTTATTATATATTAGTAGAAACTAATGGACATTTGTCCATCAAGTTAACAAAGATAATAATATAATACTATTTTTCATTGTATAGGGATTTTTCTAAGACAGATTTAAATAGTTGGCAGCTAAATTATGGGGCAATTCATCGTGTGGAGTTTCACTATTTTGTTTAAAAAGTTAGGTAATTAAACCAATCTTTTTAATTTTAAAAGTCTATAAATATGAGAGTAATTTTATTTTTTTTTATCAACAAATTAAATATCAACAAACTCATACAAAATGGCATTCAATGCAAATATCTTGCTCATGTTTTCTTTGGTTCTTATGATTATATCATCAGAAGTTATTGCAAGGGATATAGTTGAGCCTTCATTTCCATTGCTTGAGGGTAATTAAGTTGTTTTTCAATTTTAGTTTTTCTATATTTAATTTTTGAACATATATATATATTTTTTTTGTTATCGATTTAATAGAGTTGTACGTGTTGGTGTAGCAAATGAAATCCATAATATAGAGCTGAACACTCCAAAAAAAAGATGGTGGTGGTGAAGGTGGAAAATGGCCGGGATGGATTTTTGATACAGTCTGTTCACGTTGCCCTTGTCCAAGCAAAAATAATAATAATAACAATAATAATAATACAAGTTGTTATAAAAGAAATTGTACGTGAAAGTAAATAAGAAATATACATGCTTTCAGTTTCTCCATATAAAACATACCCCACCCACGTCTTAGTGGGAAAAAAGTTTTTGTCTCACGTATAGTTTAAAAGCAGAAAGAGTAGAATTCATTCGAGAGAGCTTGGTGTTCTTAAGAATGGTTCAGGTGGGGATTCTTTAAGAATAAAGAATTCGAATAGAATCTAATTCATGTTCATGTTAACAAAAGAACGGATTCAATATCGAAACGTTCGAGAGAAAAGGCTAGCCTTGAATATATGCAATTTTTGTTTATGTCGGAGGTGCCTAAAGCTAAAAGCAAGATTTCTAGTAAAGGCCCCTTTAGCTTCGGGGGAAAATTCTGTCTTTCTTTCATCCCCTCTCTCTGTCTATGGCTTATGCCAATTGGTCTTATTCGGATAAATTGCAAAATATCTTTTAAATTTAGCAAAATAGTGAGGATTTAGTGCATTTTTTTTAAAAAAATCTATTTGCTTTCAAATTACAACTATTGCAAACTTGAAGAGAAAATTTGGGCCACATTGAATAGAAGGTATGGGGTTTAAAAAGTTTTATCTGCCATTTTAAAAAAAAGTTTATAAATAGGAGTAATATATATATATATATATATATATATACACGACAAATTAAAGTAAGTGCATAAGAGAAGATGATTAAGAGTGTTTGGTATGAAAGAAAATATTTTTTGGAAAATGTTTTTCAAATCAACTCATTTTTCTCAAAATTAAAAAAAATGACTTTCCTTAAAAAATTAAGGAAAACATTTTCCAAAACTCTCCTCTAATTTCAAATTACATTTCTTTTTTGAAAAAACATCAATTTTAAAAAAAATTCAAAATCAAAATTTTATTTTTTCACGGATCCCTGACCCCCTTCCGAAAAGATTAATTTTGCTTTTTAAAAAATATTTTCAAGTTTAAATTTTTGTATTTAAACTCTTACCCCCTCCCGCCAGCTCCCTTACCCCCTCCCCCCCCCCCCACACACAATTTTTTTTTTTAGTTTTTTAAAATATTATCAAGTTCAAATTTTTATTTTTTAACTCCTACCCTCTACCCCCTGCCTCCCCCCCCCCCCAAAAAAAAATAATAATTTTGTTTTAAAAAAATATTTTTAATTTCATTTTCTACTCTAGTAAAAATAAAAGATGTCTCTTAAAAACATATTTATTAAAAAATCAAACACAAACTCTTTTCCAGAAAATATTTTCTACTCACCAACCAAACATGAGAAAATAAGTCTAGAATCTACTTGTTTTCCACGAAAAAACATTTTCCAAGAAAAACATTATCCATCATACCAAACGCACCCTAAATCAAAAAGATTTTTTTACAATACAAAATATTTTAATTGAGAAAAGAAAATAATACTAGTATTATTAAAAATAGCGTGGGAGAAGAAAAAGCTATGTATTTTCTATATTTAATTTTTGAACATATCTAATAAAATTGTACATATGAATTTTGATACATCGAATAAAGTTGAGAATACAGAGGTGAACGACCCAACAGCATGTGGAAGATGGGGATGGGTTCTTAATGTAGCCTCTTTAGATTTAGATTGCACTTGTCCGAACAAAGATAAATATAATAACAATAATAATGATGATTTTGTGACTAATGTTTGTAAAACCGCTTGTTGTTAGAAACAAAAGAATCACAATTATATACTTTGCCTAATAATATGAAATTGATTGAATAAAGGAAAAGTTTATATTATTATATATCCCAATGTTATTTTTTCACTTCGATTGTTTTTAGCCTAAATTGATACTTGAAAAATCTTATTGAAATATATCTTTTGAAATTTAATGTATTATATCATAATAATTAAAAAATAATTCTATTCGATATTAAAAAATAAATAAAAAATATATAGAACAATTAAAACTTAATAAGAATTGAATTTTTTTTATTAGACGCCACTTATAATTGCGTTAACATTAACAACATCTAGCACGAGTTTAATTAAACGTCTTAAACTTAGGGTATATTTAATACGGAAGAAACTAGAATATTAAAATGAGGGTTCCTTCATAGTTTTGCACATGATTGTAATATAACATTAAATTGAACCGACATGGATCGTATGTTGGTGAGATTACTTCACTCTTAATCAAAAATCTCGAATTTGAGCCTCTAGAAATGGAAAAATTCATGTAGTGAGCGCACCCACATCTCCCCCTTCCCCCTTCCTCCTAAGTAGACCCTGCAATGTACAATCTGAATTTAGCCTGAGCTCGAATGTGGACACCAAATAAAAAAAATAAAAATAAAAGAGAAGACGATTATAGTGAAGGAAATATGAATTTTGTAAAAACAACATGAACTATAGTATATTGGTGAGACTGTTCCACCCTTAATTAAATAGCTCGAGTTTGAACCTATGAGATATGGAAAAATTCATGTTGTGAGCACCTACATCCCCCAAATAGATGCTGCAGTGCACAATCTGAATTTAATAGATGCTGCAGTGCACAATCTGAATTTAGCCGGAGCTCGATGAAAAAAATGAAATGAAACAGAAGACGATAATAGTGATGAAAAAAATGAGTTTTGTAAACACGCTACCCCGAAATAGACCTTGCAGTTGTAAAAACGCTAGAAGGAGGGCTTGAACCTCCGACCTTGTGGTTAACAGCCACACGCTCTAACCAACTGAGCTATTCCAGCTATACATTCTATATATACGCCAATGTTAAATATATCAAATTTCTGGTCTTTGCTATGTTACGAAATAATTATCTAGATACCTTTAAAATTTACATATCACCTTTGTGAATAAGTTAGATTATTTAATTATCAATTGAAATCATCTAAAGATGTTTAGATATACGATACATTTTAAACATATATTACTTTTATGTTTTGAATCACCTTTTAAATGATTAACTCAAAAATTTAGACAAAAATTCCTAATATTTAATAATGTGGTCGAGGTTCTAGGTATGGCATCATGGTTCTACATATAATTCACATTATACCTTGTGCAACACATGTTTTGGATTTTTTTTCTTCTTTTCATTAATAATTATTATTCGAATTGATAACAATTTCTTGTCTTTGTCAAAAGATATTCCACGATGTAAAGATTATTTTGTATATGGTAAATTTTGGACACCTTAAATTAATTTTAATTAGCTAAGAAATCAAAGTAGGTAGCTAGTAGGTAGGTAAATATCAATTCAATCTTTACTTAAATTCTTTCGTTCGCTTTTATTTGCCTATTACCTTAATAAAATTTCCAAT